AAGTTGTTAAACATCTGAATCAAATTCATGGAGAATACTGTCCAAAATTTATTATGCTTTTGGTAACATATTTTTATTATCACTAAACATTATCAAAAACAGCAACATTATCTTACTAGCTAAATTAGTAACCAAACCATGACCATTCAAAGTTCAAAACAATTTTCCATCATGCATGCTATTGGGACAGAAGCCAATTTGAACAGTGTATAAATGAAGATGCAGACTGCAAACAAGTGAAAAATCCTTATAAATGTAATGTCATATGAGTAGTCTTGAAGTAAAAGAAATATAATCCTAATGAAATCATTAGATTAGAACAGCCTAAACATTGGGAAAAATTATGTTCTCTAAAATGAAATAGTTAAGACATGACACAGGCAATTCTGACTGTTCTTATAAGTTTCATTTCAACGGTTAATACCTTGCAACATTTTGCTATGATTTAGGACATAACAGAGATGAAGCTAAATTCTTTTTTCAGAAGTACATCAATAAAAGAAATCATATTTACACCATGTAAAAACAGTCAGAAGTGCAATTTAACAGTAGAGCAAAAACAGGTAAAGTATATACCATAGAATATATCCATTGGAGGTACATGCCTGAAACTTTACTAATTTTGGGATGAGGGATTCAATAAAACAAGAATTTCCTGTAATATGAAATCTTTTGTCATAGAAATTATGTAATTTTTAACTTGTAAAAAAGGAATGTAATGACTACAAAACTTAGAATCCTTTAAACAAATGCTGATTGTAAAGATGTAAGCTCATTTATCTTCAAATTAAAAAAATGAAATGAATAAAAATACATTTACTGGAACTGATGAAAAAGACTTTCTGGACAGTTGTAATGGTTCTTCTAATGGTGCTTTGCAGTTTGCAAGCCTGTTATAGCCAGTATTCTTAGAACAATCCATATGCAATCATCTCTTGAAAGTGGTATTATACCAAAGTCCCATCTAAAGACAAATGTTGACAACACTTGTGCAATATCATCCTGCAAAGGCCATCAAAAATAATCATTTCTGCCTTTGGTCAGAATTAAAAGACACTAGACAGAGTTGTAATGTCAATGACTTGGTCAATGTCAAGGTTGGCATCATAGAATACTGTAACCTTGGCACTTGTAACAGAGTTGTTTCAATACTCAGATTCACCAAGTGCTTTTTCTTCCTTCATTTAGAGGTGCAGATGAATTTTCATTAAATGCTACATCACTGTAATGTCTATTCCCTTCATCAAACAAAGTTCATAACTATACCAGCAACCTTTTCATACACTGCAAGGAATTTGGGTTCTTCTTTAGCCTGCTTCTCCCATTCACAAGAAAGCTACCTTTCAGGTAAGCAAGTTCATCATTCACTGAACAGAACATTAAATTTATTAAAAAACTGAGGAAGTGGTCCCTGGTATGGAAAGCACTAATACATAAAAAAGCAGATACTCAGATATTATCTTTCATAACATATTTTGCACTTGGTGGATCTGAGTATTCAAAATCTTATTAGTGTCAAGGCCAATAGGTTGCAGTATTTTTTGTATCAAGAAATAGTAAATAAAAGATCATTATACATAAAAAAATGGATGCTCGAAGGGTAAGCTAAAAAATATCCATATTATTTTTATAAAATGTGTCTATTTCTTTTCATTAAAGAAAATATAAGTAAATTTTCAATCTAATCCCTGAAAATCAGAAAAACATAATACACCCAGCCATGAATGCAAATGAAATGAATGAGCATGAAAACGAAAACTGGATACTCTTTTTAAAATTTTAAATTCAAAGTACTAAAAATATATTCAGTTTATTTTCTATAGTATAAATTCAATTTAATGTTTAAAAGATGCATAAAAACAAAAGCTGAGGTAAAATCTGTGTGACTTTTTGGCCAAAATACAATAAGTACTTTATACAGTTTTAAAATGCATCATTAAAGAAAATTTATATAAAAAATAAACTTCAAAATATCCATTGATGAAAGAAGCCGGATTTTAAATGGGGGCTCAAAATGGTCAGCAATCCAATGTATCAGACCAAATAGTACCACACAAAATGGGTGATGTAGATCCTTTTTTTGATATGCTTGCACTTTAAGTTGGATGGGAATTTTTTGTGAAACCCACCAAATTGACAAGGCCTTTTTTCTCTAAGACAGGACTATTTTGATGTGTATAGGGAGACAAAACAAGTTTAGAAAACACCACTATGAAATTCTCAGCTTTGAAAATGTAGAAAAGAAGCACTCCTCATTGAAATAGTGACATAATTTAAAGAGATATAGAATAAAATCTCATCATCAATCACAAAAACAATTATATCTTTATAAAGAGAAAAGAGTTAATTTTGTTTACATATTAATTTGATCAAAATAACTTTGAAAATAATTGAGATCTCATGAGAGGAAACTTGAAGGAAATTTCACTATTTTGACCACTTTTTACAGTTTAAACTAGGAAGGTTTAGGATAGCAATTAAGTGTGAAAAGCCATTCATTAATAAGAAAGAAGACTTAAAAAGCTAAATTATCAATAAGGTTGGAGCATATTTACTACAACCAGTATTTAACCACCAACAACTATTGCATTGTAAATGATAGAAATAATAGTTCAACAGAAGAGTTGGAAAAGTTCTCAAGCTACTAAAAATTAAAAATATATGTACCACTAATGCTTTCTTCTGGGTGATTAATCTATACAAGATATTCATATTTCAGTTCTTAACTACAAAAAAAATCATGGCATTTCCAAATTCTTTCATTGGTCAATTAACAAGAAGGCTCTTCTGAATGCAGTTTTTCAGCACAATCTTTCCGTGATGAGTCTTATAATTCCAACGAGAGAGAGAGATTGATTAAGTAAGTGCATCTGTAACAAACACACAATGGACATGGAATGTTCATGGAGGAATGTCAAAGACTCAAAATGGAGGCTGGAGTCTGCTATGAAGGACACATTCTTCAAATCAGTAGGAGATTTCACCTTTAAGAAAGAAAGAAACAAATACTTTTTTTTTCATATTTGTTACAATGTTTTATTTACAATTACCAGCTACTTAGTATTTTGTTTTTTTTGTCCAAATGAAGAAGTCATCTGACTATAAAGAAATTGCTGTATTCTTAAATGAAAGATAAAAATATGCTCACCACAATTAACCTAAAAATGCAGTTATACTCAATATTGTGTAAAGTGTTTAAAAATAAATAAACAAAAAAACAAAACATTTTGGCGCAAACAAAGAATACGTATTTCATGTAAGAAGAGAGAAAAAATGGTAAATGATCAGTGAATTTTTATGCCGGTAAAGTAAAAATAATAAAAATAAATAAAAATGGTGAATGATCAGCGATTTTTATGCCAATTAATTAAGTTACACTTCATTTGTTTTTTAACACAAAATAAAATATGTGCAAAATTTCCTAGCACCTGCCGTTTTAAAAGACTAGATTGAAAAATTGTTTTCACACATCTAAATTCTTTTAAAATGAGGGGTGAAGTAAAATTTGTAAACATTTTTAGTTCGTAAGTAGCTGTTTAGCAGCGACAGACTTCTTGTTGAAACATTTGAAAGAAAAGTATATTAAGTTGATACTCGACGTAAAAAAAATAATTCTGAAAATTTTCCTAAAATAGGTTTGGAAATATTAATATTCTAACCATTCTTTCATGTAAACACAACTCGTAGGAGAAATCACTGCTCCTTCTTGACACTGATCAAAGACCGGACAAGTTCCACAAGGCATTCTCATCAATCCCGTCGGTTGAATTAAAGGTTTTATCGCCCGGTAAAGTTTAGTGTTACCCGTGGAAGCACCAGAAGAAGAACCAGGCGCAGCTACAATAGAACGTTCGACTTTGCCGTCGTATATTAAAGTATCTAAAATTGTTTCGATGTCCTCGACAGCGAGTTTTACTTTGCTTATTCCCAGCTCGGAAATGTATTTCCAAACGTCTGCTGAAGGGGCGAACGAAGCATTACGTTGCATTAAAGGAGCAGAAAGAGTTTCACGGGCATTTGCCGCTCTCTCATTCAAAAACTTGAAGCATTGTTGGTTTAAAACTTCCACAAACTCAGATTCAAAATCTTGATCACTGTACCAGGCTCCTCCAGTGACAGAACTATCAGGTTCAAGTTCATAAAGCATATATACCTTCTTTTTAGAAGCGGCAACAGATTTCACAGCTTTGATTACTTTTTTACTCTCAAGACTTTTTAATATCTTATTCACTTGAGTCAGCAATAAGTTGCTCTGATATCGAATATCACGAATCCATATTCCTCGATTTCCAGCTTCTTTTATGATTTGATAAACTACTTTTTCTTGATTATCAGCTCCTTTGACTAAACTGACTGACGAAGGATCTTTAAGTTTATACACCAACTTGTTTCCACTTTTGAGTAAATCAATTCTTGCCGTAGAAAGAAGCCGGTTAATAGCTTGTACTCTTTGTTTAGCATCAAACTGAGGCATGTCTGCGATGATGGTAGCATCATCCACACCATCTGGATTCTGTTTACATAACTCCAAGATTCTGGTCTCTAAATCAAGACCCTCGACTGGTTCTTTCTTGATTGACAATTCTTCTTCCTCCGCCATCTCTTCACGCAGTCGAAGAGAGAACTCTCGTGTTAAAAAGTTACATAAGTATTAACGGTGTAAAATAAAAAAAATCCCCCTCAAATATTAAGTCAGCAAATAAATTTGGAATTATTCAAAAAAAAAAAAGGAAAAAAAAAGGCTTTCTTGTATTGTATCATATGACGAAGTCAAATGTTTATCTAAATACAACCTTTGTTAAATTTGATTGGTAACATACACTTTTGTTTTTGTACTATCTTATCAACAATACTATGAGTCATTTGAACTCATAAAATCACACGACTTTAATTTTACTTTTCAATTCATTCTTGTGTTTTGCGGGAGTCACACGAGTCCGAAAGTCTTGTCTTGTGATTATTGTTTTCTTTTAAAAGTAATTTAGTTTTTAAATTTCACTATGGACAACGTTTTCAAGTAAGATTTAATTTTTTTTTATTTGTTTTTATTGTTTCGTTAACAAATTCATTGATAAATTTGAATTTCTATTTCATTCATTAATTTTTTTTTCAAAAAATAATTTTTCTTTTTTTTCTCATTAGTTCTTCTTACCAATTTAAAAAAAACATTTTTTTATTCTATTTACAAAAACTTGTTCAGTTTGAATGTATTTTTCGGGATTTAAAAAAAGAATAACTTGTTTCTTTCTTTTTCTCTTAATTTTTTTCAGTATTATTCATTTAATGAAAAAAAATGTTATTCACCTAATAAACTTATTTCGCCGCAACTGAATTATTTTTATCGCTTTCTTTTCACATTTGCTTTTCATTGATTGAAAAAAAAGGCAACAATGTTCAGTTTTAAATGCAGTATAATGTAATTTAATTAAACTAATTCAATATTATAAAAATAAAATTAATGATCAAGTCCTTTTAAATTTTTATCTAAATAGTAAAAAAAAAGAAAGAGAGGCGATGATTTCCGAAGTTCAAGAAATGGCTTAAAAAAAAGTTTTTTGTACTTTGTTGTTCTTTCGTGTCTACGTATTTTATTTACAAAGCATAAAAATCTAAATTTCTTTATAGAAATTTTATTTAAGAATTTACTGTTAAAATCATTTTCCCATTTGATAAAAAAATGAAATGATTTTTTTTGGCTTTGGTAATGATCCTCACCAACTGCAATCAAGTTTTATATAGAAATAAAATTAATAAAGCATTGTTTTTGTTGTATTCTATTTAATTTTATTTACTTTTTTTTCCTGAAGTTTTGACGTTATTATTCAACATATGTTCCCGACTAGTATCTTCTTTTTTTAAACACAAGATTTCAGCCGTTATGTTCTTCGGTCTGCTACATGTACTTTTTTTGTTGTTTTTTTTTAAACAAAGGCAGCCAGACCAAAATGAAGATATTATTTAAAAAAATAATAAACAACAAAGCCATTGTTACTCTTTCTTAAAACTTAAAACTAAAAGCCAGTAAAATTGCAGGCATATTTTACCTAAAAAAATAAGTCTTTTCTTTAAAAAAAAAAAAAAAAAAAGTTTTAACCTTGGAAAATAAACTGAATTTTTTTCTTGGAAAAAAAAAAGAAGAGAATTAAAAATTAAAATCCCCAAATTTTATTGGAAATATAAAAAAAATATTCCTCCTTTACCAAATATTTAATCAGAAAGAAAGAGTTTGTGCTAATTTTTTTTTTTTTTTTTTTTTTTTTACAATAAATTCAGCTTTATGCAAGGCGATGTTTTCTCAATAAAATTGATACTAACCAACCAATGTAGGTAACATTTTCAGGATTTGTATGAACAATATATTGTGTGAATTTCAGTTTATAATATTAATAACAAAAACATTTATTAAAAATAATTTGTTTTCTTTTGGGTGTGTCAAGTTTTTTTTATGCAAACAAAGCGTAATTTTTATTTATAGTTAAAAATATAAATTAAGCAATAGAAACAAATTTGATTAGCACATAGCTGAATAAATTATTATTTCAATGTGTTACTTTTTTTTTGAGTGACTTTCTTTTACTCTGTGTAGTTTTTAATTTTTATTGCTTTCTCGAGATCGTTGCTTAAGGTTTTTTTTTCATTTTCCATACATGTTTTTTTACCACATGATGGACCCCAAGTTTTCTATTGGAAAGTCTATGAAGCGATTTCAATATGATTTCATTAATTTAACTTTATTTTTATAGAGCCAGCTTTAGAATGTGATTTTTATCTTGCATGAATTGTACGACTAAAGGTTTTTGGTTTTGTTGACTTGACCTGTACCACACGGAAAAACGTTTTCTTATGTTGCATAGATGTAAAGAAGCTCTTTCTATGCAAGAGCTTCTTTATATCTGTCTTGACAACTTAGAAAAGACTTATAATTTTAACTGCTTACAATACTAGACCCCTGCCCCCACCAAAAAAATAAACAAAAACCCCCAAAACACTTTTCTTTACTTCATCTCCCTGTTGGTTGTTGTCATTTGTTTTATTGTCAGGTTGTTTGACTATTTTCGTGGAGGATTTGACCCTGAGTCATCAAGACATCCAATGTTTTTTTTTTCTACAAAAAAAGACTTTAAACTTTAATAAACTAAACAGAAACTTCTTAGTTTATTAAAGTTTAAAGTCTAGTTACTAAGGAATCCGTTTTCAATTTTCATTCATGTACTTCTTTTTATTTAACTTATTTGTGATATTTACTTACTTAAAAAAGGTAACATTTTGCTTTCATGTCTTTAAACAAGGTTAATCTTCTTAATCTTAAAGGTACTGCATCTTTTAACATTCAAGACACCAACCAATTTCAAGTACTTTTTTTTTTCTGTTCAATTCACTTTTCTTTCTTGCCTGCTTATTATTATTATCCTTTTTTAGTTTTAATTTTTCTCCATTCACAGTCAGTCTTTTTTTTTTCTCATGTCGCCAGTGTTTTCTTTTCACAATTTGAATTATTACTTTTTTTATTGTTCTCTGTTAGCTTGTATCATATGTAAAGGTGGTCTTAAAAATCATTTAGATCACCTTTATGGGTAATGGATCGGAATTGTTTGGAGAGCTGAGAATCCCAGTTGGGTTTTATTCACTTACTTGAACAGGTATGAATCCACCTTTTCTCCCTCCCAGTCATGGGCTAAAACTTTTAAGACAAAAAAATATTATCTCTGAAAAAAATGCGTATTTAGATTTCGGCATTAAATAAACCAAAGAGGTTGATATGCCGCTAACAAAAACAACCAACCAATGTTGTCCAATATTTTTGGCAATTTCCGATGTTCCCATGGCAATATCTTATGACTCATGGCAATCTTTATAAATTTGAAATGAAAAAAAATATCAGCAGCTTTACAATTATTTCCAGGATAAACAAAAATCTCAAGTTACGTCAAACAAAACCACCAAATTGTATGTAAGCATTTCTAGGAAAACAGATTACACGTTGCCCTTATTTTTATTTTATCATATACTGAATACATGGTTTTAGTAGAACTAATTTTATTGTAGTAAGTAATTATTTGCACAATGACATTGAATTCATTTTACTGTGTGTATGGATTGAAATTCGATGGATAAAAGGACCACAAAGTGATATTGTTACTGATGATATTTATTATTATTATTATTATTTTTATTTTTTTGCTAGACTGAAGCACAAAGAGAAAGATTTTAAAGTCGGAATCTTTGGACACGTTTGTGTCCTTTTTTTAACAAGAATTTTTTTTCATGTCTTGTGATGATTACAGTAAGAAATTTGATTTTAGCCTAGAGTAGTTAACGACGATTAGGGTTGTGGAGGGTTTGTAGAAGGCTTTCTGTGGAAACTATTCTCTGGATAAACCTAAAAAAAATCCCTGTTTAATGTAATTCTATATTGAAAATATATTTTAACTCCAATTTATATCTTCTTGGCTTCTCAATGAAGACAGGTGTGTGTGTACTCTGTACTTTATAATTGTTGAGCAACCTCAAAGAAGCTAGCTGACAATAAGTTAAAGAATAAGAAGTTTTTTTTTTTTTTCAACTCATTTTTTGCTCATTTTCTTTATACCTTTGAACAAAGATGTTTAGTTTATATATAAACAAATCTGCTGATTATATTTTTTGACCTTCTTTTTAACATGTCCAATATCACATGACATACTGATAACAAGTAGACTTAGCTTTAAAGAGCTTGAAAAAAATATACTTTAACTTTTCATTCCTTCTTCCGTCGTTGTTAATGAAATTGCTGAATCTCTAGCCTCATAGCTTATGACCTTTAGTTATATCCACAACACAATGGCCTTACAAGCAGACTTTGTGCATTTTTAGAAAATTTCACAAATCATTTTTATATACAGTCTTAGGGTTTCAGAACTGACCTAGCTTTGTCCTAACTCCAAGTATTTGTCAAATTACGATTGTTTGAAGATCAAAATTCACACATGTTTAATCATTTACTTTTAAATGATCTGCTCTCAATATTTGTATTTTTTTTTTATCTGATTTTTGGCTAGGAAAGTCATTGGAATCTTGTTGAAATGAATGTTATAATTGACAGGTTGGTTTAGATCTTTTTCAAAAACAATATATATCAATAAAACTTTAGGGCTTTACAACAGAAAACTCAGTCAATTTGTTCCCTTATTTTTTGTCTCTGATCTCCTAACTTTGAATTACACTAATAAAATAATACCAGAGACAAATTTCTTTCTATTTTTTTGTGTAAGTTCCTAAATATTAAAAAAATAAAATTAATAAAACGTAAGAAAATTATTCTTGGGGTGAGGTTTCAATTAACAAGTATACCCATTATTAGGAAGTGCCTTACATTATTGACTTATTTCCATAAATAATTTCCTTGCTTTGCTTCCATTATTTTTCTGATTTTTCCAAAATTAGAAGGAAATGTTAGATATTTATCATCTTAATCTGATATCACATTTTTTTCTTCATATTTTGTACTTTGACACTAACAATTTTCCAAAATTGTATCACTTTTTATGTGAAATGAACTGTTTCTGCAGTGTCAACTCCATTTTATAGTGAGTGAGTTTTAAGTGCAGATATAATTTGATTCCAAAATACTTTTAAAGCAGGGTTGGTTGATTTAAATCAAATGATTTTTCTTTTTTTAAAAATCGCTAATTTGAATCAATTTTACGAAAATTTAAAAAACAAAAGATTTAGAAATAAAATGATTTTTTTGTTTTCATGTAATTTCATGAACGAAGAAAAGTATTAAACATATTAAATCAAATATTTATTAATCAACTGAATAATTTTTTTTTTTTTTTTTTTATAAAATAAAATTTCAGCATGAGAAGTGTTTGTATTCATGAATATAAATAGAAAGACCAAGTTTAATGCTTTATCTGTACCAAGATGGTTTCTCAGTTTGGAATGCACCAGTTCATACGATGAGAAAACTCATTCAACACCAGATGAGGCCACTGCAAAAACTAAAAAGTATATTGCAGCTCAACACACTTTTAA